TTTTGCTAAATCATCTAAATATACTTCAATATCATATAATCAATCAATTAAGCCTCAATAGGTTAAATGTACTAAAAACCCTAATTTTCACTATTTAGGTTGAATCTATGCCTAAGTGAAACTAGGTGAAAATTTCAATTTTAAGGTCAATTCTCATGCTAAATCATCCAATTTCAATACTATAACATGTTTTTAATCAATTAAACATCAAGAAAAAAAAGCACAATAAACCCTAACAATCACTATTTGGGCCGAAAGATTCATCATGAAGTAGGCTAGGAAATTTTGCATTTTTCCTACTTTTTCCCATGCTTAATTAACATATTACATCATCAATTTCATCAATTTGAACATCTAAACCATTTCTCCCAATTTGCAAGTTCAAGAACCCGAACGCTAATTCCTTTAATTAATCTAATTAAACTTGAATTAAATGTGCAAAACTAACAATTCACATCAAATAACAAGTCCTTGTAATGTATGTGAGATTAACTTACCTTAAATGCTCCAAATTAACTCTTTTCAAGTTGGATTTTTGCAAGCTTTTCCTTCCCCTTTTCCTTCCTCTAAGTTTTGGCCAATTGTTAAATTTTTCCTTAGTATTTTTGATCTTCCACTTATAATTCTAGGCCTAAAGGTGTGTTTTAAGGGAGTTTTTAATGTTTAGGTTAATTTGACTTGAAATTTTCTTGAAAAATTTTGCAAGAGTTTGCCTTAATTTTCCAATTTTTTCAACATTTTTCTTCCTCCCTCCAAGTCGAATTTATAGGTGAGCTTGGGTAGACTTTTGCTTTTTTTGATTTTATCTCCACCGTTCATTATGTTTAATCTCTATCCTTAATTTTTCTTGTAATCCTAACCTTTCATTTGGTTAAATCTCTACCATCCATCTTTCTTTTAATTCTAACCTTTGATCACTTCCATCTTAGCCTTCTATTTGGTAAGTCAAATAATTACACTCATTTATTAAGGGTGAGAGGTGGCGAGTTAAGGTGGAAAGATTTGGCCAAAAAATGTTTATTTTAGTCCTTTGATTTATCACATTATTTCAATTTTATCCCTACATTTAAGCTCTTTTAATTTTTAATTGATTTCTTTTGGTCCTTCCCTAAGGCTTTTCCAATATCTTTATGCCTCATAAATTTTATTTTCTAATTTATTTGTTGGCTAAAACTTTTAATTATATGCGATTGGGCCCCTAATTTTATGCAATTAGGTCCCTAACCTTATGCAATTAAATCCATATGCACATAATTAATTCCACACACTTTCAAAAAATAATCTCTTTTCATAATAAATTCATACACTCTCTATACTAAGCACTTAATTTTTATGCACTCATCTAGGCATTCAAAATAATTATTTTTCATAAACATGCACTATTCACGCACGGAAAAGTCAATAAAATATTCATCAAACATAGAGAAATTCACTTAATTGCACCGAATATTCTATCACCTCTCTAATAATTATTTTGTTCATACGGAATAATTTTCACATGCCTTTAATATATATTAATTCATTTGTTTGTAGGTTCGGGATATTACATATATTCTATAAAATTATCGGTTACAACTTTGAATTGCTTAATAACGATAGTGAATAAGCTTTTATATATCCAATACACCAAAGCTAGCCTTAATATAATTATATTTATGTATCTATCAACCTCATATTTTAAAAGCTTTTGGTGTGGTTTATATTTTTCTTTTAAAGTTGAACTTAATTTTGTTAGCTTCGAAACGAGTCTCATTATGATTTGTTTTATAATCTAATTATAGATTGAAAATTTGACTTGCCAATCTTTTATGGTTAATATGAGTTTTTTTCCTTTTAGAAAATTGATTCTAGAATTATTATTAATAAAAGGTCTATCTGATGACCTATACATGAAGAATTATATATGTTTGCATTGACTATATTGAAAATGATTTATTTCTTAACAATATTTGTTGACATTTACAATATAGAACAAATAAATTTTACTTTTCATTAATTTTAAACTATTGAATTTTTGCATGCTTTAAGTTCTTCGATAGATAAAATTCTTTATGTATGCAAAGTTGTTTTTTGGTTTCATGGCTTTTTACACACACACACACACACACACATATATATATATATCTTGACATTCTTTATTTTTTTTGTTGAATTTCAAGTTCATTGATTACTATTGAACATTAAAATTCCAACTCAATGAACCTAATTTTATTTGACTCGATAAATTAGTAGCTATGGCTCTGTCTTGAAAAGAGTTCATTTTTCTTTTATTTCGATGATATAAAAGCTTTTAATTTGTAAATAGCTATCAATTTTTGCAAATGCTCCTCAAACCTATGCCTCAAATTTATTTGAAATTGAGGCTTCGCACAAACATTTGCAGATTTCAAGAAAAGAATATAGTCTCAACTAAGAGCTTTATGCCTCAAATTCTCAGATGAGGCATAATTTGTGTTCTTCTCTATCATTAATCATTTTAAATACATGATCATGTAGATTGACAGATTGATTAAGCTCAAGAGCTATGTTATTTCAAAGTTACCAATGATATATTCACAAAAGAGGGTGGTGAGTTCTCGGTTAAGCATGTAGCACCCCTTGAGGAGAGGATCTGTGCATTTGAAACTAGAGGCTACCCACATATTATGATTCATGAAGATAACAGCGTTAACCTTGGCCTTCTTGAGGAGCTTTCTAACGTGGAGAAGAAATAAAATAGAAGTGATCTAATGTGTAGGTGAGAAATGACACATGTTTTGTCACTCAAAACTTTACCATCTATTACTATATGTTTAATGATTTTTTGTTTAATTGAAGAAATTAGATTGACTAATGAAGATGGTTTATTTAATTTTGTTTAAGTTATTGCTTGATGATCTTGGTATATCTTTATTTCATTTATTTATTTGGTGGGTGAAGATTTTATTATTATTTTTTGATAAAAAAAAACATGGTGTTTTTGTCTTTCCAGATTCATTTTTACTATAAAATTTAATAGTGGTCGCATTTGCACTCAATAACCAATTTTTTTCTGCCAGCCTATTATCAATAAAAATCTATCTAAATCAAACATATCTATTTTATTTTTTATTTACATGAAGTAATAACCTTTTTTTTTTTTTTTCTATCAATCTATTATTGATAAAAATCTATCTAAATCAAACATATCTTTTTTATGTCCATGAAGTAATAAAATTATTGATTTTTCTAAGAAAGTAAGATCAGATGAAGAGTTTAGCAATATAGAGTTTATGCTTTACAAATTAGGAGATGTTATATTTTCACCCTTCAATAATATAAAGTCTTGATCAATATTTAAGGTAACTACTTTGATAGAATATTTGGATACTATTGTATAAGTTCATAGTAGACTTGTTAGTATAAGAAGAAAAAAAAAAAAACCTATTAGTTAGCTTGCATGCATATTTCGTTGATTAAATTTTGGTTCTTCTTTTAAGATGGTTCAAATATTACAAAAATAAAACTAATTTGTATTCACTCAGTCTTACCATAAAATTTTACCGATAATATCATTTCCCCCTCTGTCATTAGTAATTTGAAATAACACTTGACATTTTGACAACTTAACATTTCTATTTAATAATAATAAAAAAAATTCTGTGCGCAGCGTCCGAGTATCAACGTAGTATTCTCTAAAGGAGAATAAAAAGTACTTTGATGCCATTATATGGACACCCAATGCGAAGAAATTTTTGCAAGATAAATAAATAGTAGAGCTGAAAACTAGTGCAGAAGGAGCTTGAAACGAACAAACTAAAATTAAAGGAAATAAAAATAAACCTCAAAATTGACTACTGCACTAGATAAACTAGAAAAAAAAAATAGAAAACAAAAATCAAGTCTAGTATTAAAAAAAGTAAAGGTAAATAAAAAACTAATGCTGTCGGCAGTGATTTCACAGGGGGCAACTAACAAGAATGAAAATGAAAAAAAGAAAGAGATAGAGGTTAGGGTTTGTGTTAGAATATATGATAATGGATCTGATATAACTTAATTAGGATGCAAGTATAATTAAACAGCTCATTATATATAAGTAAAAAAAAAAAAAAAAGTATAATTAAACAGATCTGTAAAAAATTTTTGTTTTGTTTTTTGTTCTTTGTTTTTTTTTTTTTTTTTTTTTACATTTCCTATATATGAATTCTTCTTACTGATGTGGACTTGTTTGCCAAGTCGGTTCGTGCCAGCTACGGGTTTATTTGGAAATGCAATTTATTAATCAAAAAAAAAAAATACAAAATAAAAAAATGGCATTTGGGTTACTCAAAAGTATTAAAATAAAAAATAAAAAAATTCTACTCTTAATCTTGAAAGATTTGAACATATAATTAGTTCAATATGTCTTTACATAATAATCTGAATATTCGATATATTTTTACGTTTTAATTGTATCTATTATGTTTAAATCTTTCATCTATGCTTTCAATTATATCTCTGACTATGAATAATTTTTTTAACCGATATGCATCTAATTAAGATAAAAAAAAATTCTAAAAATTTAAAAAATAGAATATGCACAAACATTTTGATGAAAAGATTTGTTTATGATAAAAAAAAAAAAAACTGATAGAAAAAACAAATTGAAGACTTAAATACTATCCAAAACATAATATTTAAACATTCCATTCCATCTATTTTTAGCCAGGATGAAATGAAGAGTTCTTTCTTGCAATTTACATCCTATTGCAGAATCTTGAACAGTTCTTTATGAGCATGGAGTATTAAGCAGCTGGTAGACTCTAGTCTTGTCCTAACTTATGCTTGTTCAATTTGAACAAGGAAAAGCCTTTGAACATAGCAGAGTTATCTTACAGAAGCACCTGTCTGTACATGCATAGAATTCAAAATGAATAATGCAATAGCTACTTGCATTTGATAATAACATCCACAGCTAGGTCTGTTCCATCACAATTACTACTATTCATGGCAACGCTTTACATTACGCTAGATGGCTGATACATTCTCACGGAGAGAACAAATCAGTTCCCATTACCGCCAACCAGGTAGCCCAAGGGAGAACCGCCACCAGGGGCAGCATGAACCTTGGTGGATGGTCGATCCTGCACACACATGGCAAAGCCGTTTAGAAATGATAAGGTCTGCAGGAAGGAACAATCAACAATCAAATTGCATGGCCAAACCATTCTGTCATCTCTCATCTATATATAATCTATTGACGAATGACTGTGTCATATTAGCAGAAAAACCTTCAAAGTTCTAGCAAGAATAAGTCCAATGAGCCCAGACCAGAAAGAACAGGTTCTATCTGATGAGTGGTCAGTGCAGGAGCAATTTATTCAGTTCTGAGTGCTATGCTTAAGCCAGAAACTACGATATGCTATAGTTTACAGTGTTTTGGACCTCTTCACTAGTATTGATTTGGCATAACAGGTTGAAATATTGTAGTGTTGGCATGCCATATCTCTGCAAGCTTGTTCATTTTGTTACATTATATAGTCTCCAAAATAAGAAGAAATCACATGATATGATTAAATTCATTAAGTAGCCGTTGTCTTGATCAAGTTTTTAATTAACCTTTTGCCTTTAGACTATAAACTTAACTAGGATCTTACCGTGATGAAGTTACCACAGTTCTGTCCATCAGCCCGGTAGTAATTGTTCTTAAGATTTCCATGAATTCCAGCTGAAGTCTGCTTATCGATTGGCGGTGAAGCAGCAGCAGGCTTTGGAGAAGGGCTATTGCTAGCAGTGTGCCCCACATTCTTAGCAGCCGGAGAGTTAGCAACAGTCTCTCCACCACCAAATAGGTAGCCCAAAGAACTCTTTGCACCACCAGCACTGAACCCACGATCCATCTCTTCCTATTATTTGCCTTTTTAATACAGAAACTGGAGCCTGCACATTAGATCAATGATGAGAATTTAAACTTCAAAAATAAAGTTAAGACATAACTAGCGACCTATAGGAGGCTGTTGTTGAAAGCAGAAAGAAACAGAAAATGCAGCAAATGCACAAACAAGAAGCAGATAGCAAGACTGATCATTCCCCTGGGAACTTTTTCAGTTAGTCTTACTAGGTCAGTTTTACAAAATTGGTCACCAACAATAGTAGACTAGACTAATTGCTTAATCTAGACCTAAGATGGTGTTTTGGCGCAGTGCTCCATGGCAAACACTAATGTAATAGAGCTACAGGGACAAGACTGTTTTCTTCCCTTAGTTTCTCTTCAAGTGACTGGTAACATCTAAGAACACAAAAATTCATGCACACTTCCAAATTAGAGTTAATGATAAGAATAAATAGTCTATGTCATGTAGGTGAAAAATTCCTCGTCTCCCCACAGATTACAAACACTTCTGGCTGTGGAAAACTTTTCTCAGCACTGGAAAAAGAGCAGCGAAAAAGATGCACAATGACACATTTGTTTCTTGGTCATGCTATACGAAAGAAATTGGTCACTCAAGACCATTATAATTACAATCTCCAACTTTTAGCTAATGTCAGCAGTGAGAATCCATCAAATCCCATTTCGTGCTTCTGCATTATATAATAAACCCCCCAAAACCAACTATCATATAACAAAAAACCACAATGCCCCATTTGAATTCTATAAAACCCCATAAAAAAGCACTAGATGTTCAACTCAATTCCATTGCTTTAAGAGCTGATAATCAGCTCTGTTACAATTTTGCACAATGTTAAAATTATCTCTTTATAACTCCTATAATTTAATGGCCCACGAGAAAAGCATAACCAGATCCAAGATGTTACATGTTCAAAACATACAAAACACAGAGATTATGGCAAGGAAATGAAGCAAGAAAGCTAGAGAATGTAAAATATGCGACAGAGAAATGGAAGAAACCAATTATACAAAGAAAGAAAATTGCTAACACACCAAAGATTCACTGTGCTATATGCCAGAAATGGATCTGGATGCAAAGTTGACGTACATTGCCCTTATGAAATCGCATACCTTTTCCTTTTCAAGCAAATGAAGAGAAAGTAAAAAGGCTGAGAAACTAACAAAAGCCAACAAGGTGGTTATACACAAGAGAGAGAGAGAGAGATCAAAGGTGAAAATTTTGTTGGTTTATAAATTAAGATAACATAACAATAATAAAATGCATGCATGTGTTAGAATGTGTGTGAGATGAAAGACATAGATTATGTTATGTTTAGTTTATTTTAAAACATTAAAACAGAATAGTGTCGGAATGGTGACATTGGCCGTTGTTCTTAGTAGGTCTGTTTAAAGCCATTGACAACACAGGTATTATGGATGCCAACTAAACTTTGTTCTTCACAAAATGGCCATCCTTAAGTCACAAGGAAAAACCTTAATTAAGCATGATTTTATTATCAATTGAGTTTTACACTTTTTATTTTTTTATTAATTTTATCCTAAACGTGTTTAATATCACCTCCCTATTCATTCACCATCAAATAATAGATTTTGAATAATTTACACTAGATTTCACATTTGTTAATTCATTTGAAATGGTGGGGTACATGCCAACTGGCAAGGAGTTGGCGTGGTGACATGTTCTCATATTTCCCGTTAATATTTGAATTTAAGTTGTTGATATTATACATGATTAAAAAGGATTTATGCCATTTGGTTTTTCTAACTCACTATGCCCCTTTCCCGAAACTGATGAATTAGGTTTTTCATCCTTCCATTAATAAATTTGTGATTATATATTTTACTATAAATGTAAACTACATAGGTCACCTATAATTAAGAGGTATATAACTTTATAAGAAAATTGAAAAATAATGATGGATTTTAGTGATGGACTATAATTCATTGCTAAATAACGAGTAAGTAGTGATCAAATAGCGCCTGTTTGATTTAACGATGAAACATAGATGGTTCAATAATGGTTTATTAACGACAAATGATATTTTGTCACTTTGTGGTATCAAAATCTTTCCAGGTGTTTTAAAGATGGGTTAGTTACAAAATTATTATGAAAATCGGTGATGGATTACTATTCTGTTATTTTTCTTTAGCGATGAAATATGCTTCGCTAATATATTAAATTCGTTGCTAAATCTAAAAAAATGGGTGGCCTTTTGAAATAAAAAGTCATTCATTTAACGATGGAATAACGACTAGCGAGACGACGGGAATGTTTCCTTTGCTAGTTGTAAAAAATTGGGTGACCATCTAGAATTAAATAACTATCTATTTTACGGAGAATTAGCGATTGACACTTACATCCATCACTAAATAGCGACGGACTAACAATGAAATCGCGTCCGTCTCTAGTCCGAATCCCTAATTAAACCCCTCTTTCCTTTTTTCTTTCCCATTTTCTTCTTTTTCCAGTTTCTCCTCTCCAGTCGTTGACTTTTCCCCACCCAAACCGCTAGAAAATTGCACTCTTCATTCCTCATCAATCTACACCTACTCCAAACTCTTTTCTTTCTAAAAAAAAAAAAATCATTTTTCCTTCATTCCTCTTCTTCTCTTCAAGTCCGAATTAGGTAAGCTCTCTCTCTTTCTCTTGTTCCTTAAAAGTTAGTTATTTTTATAATTGTTAGGTTAATTTTAAATTTAATTGGTTGATTTATAATTTTGTATAGTTTTAATTGTTAATTTGTTGATTAATTTGTTATTTATTATTAATTGTTAGTTTGATTTAGATTTATTTAATTAATTCGATTAATTTTGATTAATTAGTTGATTTGATTTAGGTTTAATTAATTAAGTAGGTTAAATTTGATTAATTGTTAATTTGTTGATTAATTTGTTATTTTGTTATTTTTTGTTAATTTTTATATTAATTTGTTAATTAATTGTTAGTTTGTTTTAGGTTTAATTAATTAATATGTTAATTTTGTCTAATTGGTTGATTTAATTTGGATTTATTCAATTAATTAGGCTAAATTTGATTAATTGTTAATTTATTGATTAATTTGTTAAATTGTTATTTTTTTAGTTAATTGTTAGGTTAATTTATTAATTAATTTTTAGTTTGATTTAGGTTTAATTAATTAATTAAGTTAATTTTTATTAATTTCTTGATTTGATTTAGGTTTAATTAAATAATTAGGCTAAATTTGATTAATAGTTAATTTATTGATTAATTTGTTAAATTGTTACTTTTTGTTAATTGTTAGGTTAATTTGTTAATTTTGATTAATTTTTTATAGCTTTAATTTTTAATTTTTTGATTAATTTGTTAAATTGTTAATTTTTGTTTATTTTTAGGTTAATTTGTTAATTAATTGTTAGTTTGATTTAGGTTTAATTAATTAATTAGGTTAATTTTGATTAATTGGTTGATTTTTAATTTTATTTACATTGAAAATTGTTAATTAATTGTTAGTTAAATTTAATTAGGTTTGAATTAGGGTTAATTTGATTTAGGTTTAAATTTAATTAGGTTTGAATTAGGGTTAATTGGGTTAATTTAACTTAGGTTTAATTAATTAATGAATTATGTTAAATTTGATTAATTGGTTGATTTTTTTTTTTTTGTATTAGAAATTGTTAATTAATTGTTCGTTAACTTTAATTAGGTTTGAATTATGGTTAACTTGATTTAGGTTTAAAATTAATTAGGTTTGAATTAGAATTAATTAGGTAAATTTGATTTACGTTTAATTAATTAATCGAGTTAACTTGATTTATTTTTAATTAATTATTTTTGTAAGGGTCGATATCCGCTAAAATAAAAATTTAATATTAAAACATATGTGAAAAATATTTTGAGAATGATAAATAATTATTGAAAACTAGGAGGGATATTTAAAATGGTTAAAACAGTTTTTTCCATGTTTGAAAAATATTTTAGTTATTTTCGATATGTGAATAGTAGTTTTTATATGAAATAATTAATTAAAGTATGTTTTTTATGCATGAAAAATATTAAGTTTGTCTAGAATATTTGTTAGAGGGGTGTCAAATTATTTTATATGATTTTATGAATTTTCTATGTGTTGTGAATATTTTATTGAATTTCCTATGTGTAGGAATAGTGTTTTCAGAGATAAAGGATTAAATTAGGTATCTTAGAAATATGAGGAATTTTTTAGGGCATGAAAAAATCATATGGGAGGTGTAGGAATACTTAGTAAATTTAAATTAATTTTATTAAGTACAAGGAATACTTTCTATAAGAAATAGTCAAATTTTCATGCTAAATAATTAATTTAGAGGTCTAAATGAGATCCAAAAATTATTAAATTTAATTTAAATCCTCTTTATGAATTTTTGAATTTATTCTGGAAATAAATTGGATTTTTGAATAGTATAGAATGGAATTTTAAAAGTAGAGACTAAATTGCTTAAAATTAGGGACTCGATTGCATAAAATTAAAAGTCTAATAATCCAAATTAAATTATGTATAAATTTTAAGGGTAAAAAATTAGTCATAGAAACTAAAAAGGGAGGATTAGAAGTGAGTTTTTGCATAAAAGAGGGATTTAGGAAAGAATAGGCAATGAAAAAGTCTAGAAACTTGGAGGACTAAAACTTATTATTTTCCTCCCAAATTTAGCCTTACGGAAGCAATTAATGAGGCTAACCTTCCGGAAGCAATTAATGAGGCTAACCTTCAGTAAAAAGTTTAGCAAAAAATAAGCAAGATGGAAGGGTTAAGTAAAAAGGTGAATAAATGGCCAAAAATTGGGACAAATGCAAATGAATAATTGGAAAATGAATTAAGGGTTGAGATTCACTCAAATTAAGGGTGGAGTTTAAATAACCAAAACTCTCCCTATAAATAGGGTTGCTGTAAAAACTAAAAATGGCAAGAAAATAGAAAAACCCAAACAAAACTCTTATAAAATTTCCACTTAAAAATCACCCAAAATATTTTTAATAAATTCTAAGCTTCTCTAATCAGTGGAAGAAGCTTGAATTTTAAGTGGGAAGCCAAAAATCTCAAGGAAAAATTTTGAAGATTAAATTAAAAAAATTAGAAGAAAAGAGGAGGAAGAGAAATTCTTCAACAACCTAGTTTTTAAGATTTAATTGGAGCTCAAACAAGTAAGTTAACTTCACTTACACCATAAGCAAGTTCAATTTCATGCTTATTTGATATTTGGTTGCTTTAATTTTTATTTAATTGCATGAAATGTGAAAAATTAGGGTTAGGGTTCTTGATGACTGAAAATTGAGGAAAATGAAATTGGACCTATGATTCATATAATTGGGGCTAAACTATGTTAATGAGGCTTGGAATTGAAGTGTTAAAATTAAAAATTTCTAGGGTTATTTAAGGAGGAACATTCGACCTAATATGTCAATTCGGGGGTTTTCAATCCTTTCATGTAATTTATGTTTTAGTAATTGAATATTATTTAATTAGGCTTGAATTAATGTTTATGAATAAGAAATTTCATTTTGTGTGAAGAAAAATCCCCTAATTTAAGGGGATTATATTCGACCTAAACTAAGAAAATTGAAGTTTGAGTTCCAAGCCATTTGATTCTGATTTGATGGGTCACACACACTTTAATAAGTATGTTTTGATGATCTGGTAGTGGAAAATTCTCCAAAAATTGAAGAAAATGGGTTTTATGGGCTTGGGCTCAATTTTGGCCAAATATGGGTTTGGTTAGGATTTTGGGTCCCAAATTTTAGTTAAATTGATTCTTATAGTTAGCACATATTTAGGCTACTTAGTATTAAAATTATAGGATAAAATGATGAGAAAATATTAGGATTCTAAAGAGGTCAAGTTTAGGCCTAAATAGGAACTTTAGGGAGTTCGGTTTAAATCAAGTTCTAAACCTAAAATTGGGTAATTCAAGCCCAAAACAATGTGTAAGGATCGGTTAGAATAAAATGGTTCATGAAAGTCTAAAGAAAAATTGAGTTAGTAAAAATTTAGCCTTAGGCCTATTAAGGCCCAAGATGAAATTCAACCCTCGATCAATGAAAGAATACCTAACTAGGTTAGGACATGAATTAGCACTCAATTTGGCAAAGACTAAATGTGAAAGAATGGTTAGGAACCTAAGCAAATAATATAGGAAGATTAAAGTGCAAAATAAGCTTAATGAAAACAAAAATAGAATGTAATTGTTTACTTACTTTTTATGTCATGATTGTGTTCTCTTTCAAATAATATATATGATGCATTGAATTATGGATAATGGTTATGATGATTGGTGTTGAGAATTATGCTTGTGATAATTGACATGTCAATGATGGTTGTTCTAGTTTATGGGGGTTATTGTTAACTATGCCGTTATGTTGCCCAATTTTATATTAATTCCTATGATTGAGTTGTATGACCATTTAAGGTATGTTTCCATAAGTTCTTATAGCATGTCGGTTCATTGCAAATGCATATGCATGCTTAGTTCATGAACAATGTTTTAAGTCAAGAACATGCATTTTATGTTATGGTTTATGATAGCGATTGGAAATTATTTTAAAGGAAAAAATTTTCATGACTTTGAGGTTTTAAAGAAAGGACTTCATGGGTATTTCATACAATGATAGTAACGGTTCAAGGTCGGGCAAGTGCGGACATGTACTTTTAGAGGCCCGGTAGGGCATGTTCGTAGACGGATCCGATTCGTCGAACACATATTATGGAACTCGAAGCACCTAAATGAGACATGCCCACAAATGAAAAAGGAATTTTCGGATCGTTTATGTTTTATGAAAAAAAGGGCTTTAACTTGCATAAGTCAATGTTTCATATCCGCATATACATGTACATGCATATATGTATCAATTAACTTACCGAGCTATCGCTAACATAGTTTCTTGTGGTGTAGATAAATAAAGGTACGATGGCCTACTTTTCTCGCGAGACCGACTACCGAAGGAAGCACCGGACGCGTATATCTTTGATAGGGGTTTAGGTTTTCGGTAGACCCATTGCACACTATTTTCATTATAGTACTAGCTATCATTTTATATGTAATTGGCTTAGCTGGTTTGTTTTATGTAGTAGTAAAAGCTATGAAAAAAATAAAAGATATAACCCGAAAAATAGTGTAAGGGTAAATAAGCCAATTTTATAGTAGTTGGCATAAAATCAATCTTGTATGTAAACGACTAAAATATGTAATCGAAACCAATGGTAAATAAATAGTAATGTGATAGTATTAGTATAATTATTATAAATTATCCCCTACATGTTAGCATTTCTATAAATTCCATGAGCGCTTAAAACACTTAACGAGGTAGATGTATAAAAAAAAGGCAAAAAATTTACAAGCAACCTTTAGGTTCGGGAATAAGACCTAAGTGTTATAATAGACCTTCACCGCATAAATATCTTCAAATAAGTTAAGTGCCTTGTTAACTCACATTCATTGCACTTCGAATGTGGTTAGCGATGGTAATATTCTCGGCATAATAGGTCCTAGGTTGGGGGTGTTATAAATTTAAATTTGATTAATTGGTTGATATTTAATTTTATTTGTATTAGAAATTATTAATTAATTATTAGTTAAATTTAATTAGGTTTGAATTTGAGTTAATTTGATTTTGGTGTATCTAATTATTGAAGTGTGTTGAGATACGCCATGATTTATTAAGTCGAAGGGGTCGAAGACCCTTAAGAGAAATAAGGTTGGTTCAATGCTTTGCGATAGAGCCGAGAGGATGAGTTTGTGATTTAATTTTGATTATATTCGGGACAAGTTTTGATCTCGGTGTACGCAATTGATTGTTAATTGATTTAATTTTAATATTTGTATGATCATTTGAAGTATCTATTAATTGACAAAGGTGCAATTTACAAGAAAGAATTTGTCAAAATTTAGATCTTGTAGGAGAGGAGAAGAAGTCAAGAGTTATGGCCTCGGATCAAAAGCATCTTGGTATTATTTTCATTCCGGCGTTAGCTTCTCTTCGCCACTTCGCGTTATCCCGGTGGTAATATCTAGAAAATTTCTATCTAGTACGAATATATGATCAAGGGGATGAAGATTACCATCTAGAAACATATGAGTCAATTTAGCACTCTATAGATATACGGATAGTGATGGAGTTGTTATCGAACCTACAATAAACTCGCGTCCCTCCCATCGACCCCCTCACAATGCGAGAGTAAGCCGTTCCTCTCAATACACAATAGTCGGAAGATGACGTAAAAGATAATGAGGACTAGATTTTTTTAAAAGTTTTTAATTTTTTGTGCACGTTTACACATTATACATTTATTTGATATCAATTTATATTATTTTAATTTTATCAAATAATATATCTTGTTTTAATAGGATGTTATTTTTAGTTATTTGTTACTACCATTAACACTAAACGACTATTAATTTATATTAAAAAAATTCTTTCGTTCGACAAAGGGTTAGCGACCAAATTAATGAAAAAAATTAAACTACTTTTCCACAAATACTTAAATGGTTGCTAAATAACCCCGCATTTAGCAATAGATTTAGAAAAAACTTTAGCGAGAACAACTATTTAGCGATGAAAGTAGTGAATTAGCGAGAGTTTAAATTTTTCATAGCTAAGGACATATAGCGACAGATTCCGTCGCTATTTTTTGATTTTCTTATAGTGTACATTCGTGGTGAAAAAATAGTGATAAGAAAAGAATAAGATTTGGTCTTAAGTATTTTAAAAAATAGTTTAATTGTTGTTGGTTGAATTTGAGGAGATTATAATGTACATTCGTGGTGAAAACAATAATGATAGGAAAAGAATAAGATCTGGTTTTAAATATTTTAAAAAATAGTTTAATTGTTGTTGGTTGAATTTGAGGAGATTATGCTAAAAGAGTTTATAGACCAGTTATATGAGAGATAGTCAACATCATATTTGATCTAATTCTAAGGACTAGTTTGTCTAACCCACCGTATGACATAATGAATCCTAAGGAAAATAAGATTCTTAAGAAAAAAGTGGAAGTGTTATTAAAAGAGGGTCAGATTTTGAAGTTTGAGCCTCTGTGTGTTACCAATCTTGTTAAGCCCGAAGAAGTATGGGAGTTGAAATATATGTATTGATAGTCGCATAATTAATAAAATTATATATGGAGGGTTACGAGTTTCCTCTTCCATATATAGATGTTATGTTAGACCACTAGAATGATGCAACAATTTTTTCAAAAATTGATCCTAGCCTAACGATAAGTGGAAGACATTATTTAACATGAAAGAGAGGTTGTATTAGTGGCCGGTTATGCTATTTGGCTTTTTCAATACACCACACACTTTTCATGAGACTGATGAATTAGGCTTTTCATCCTTTCATTAATAAATTTATGATTATGTATTTTAATGCATCCTGATTTACAGTTAGATAAATACAAATTACCTAGATCACCTATAAGAGGTGTGGAAACCGTTATAGGGTACCAAGTTATATGTGAATTTAAAAATTTTGGTTTCACGACTAACCTTGTTATTTTAAGAATTTGTTTTTAGCACAAGGGGCATTCATGTTGATGAACAGAAAGCGACTAGACATCCCAAAAAATTATTTGTTATGTGTACAGTTTCATGATCTAGACAGTGTCTTCTTAACTTTAACGATACAGTTATATCTATAACGTAGCGTCTTGAGGAGGGACAATCTGATTGGAATGAAGAATGAGGAAGAATTTTATCTTTCATAAAGGACAGGTGGATATTGCTTTTGGATCCACAGTCCTCAATTTTGATAATCTATTGAGGTTGAATGGTATGCACGTGTCATATTTGGTATTAAGAAGTTTTGTCTTAAGAAAAGAAGCCAATTGCATTATTTACCCCTTGTTTGGATAGGGTGGAAAGTGGGAGAGAGAAAAGAAAATGGGGTGAAAAAAAATATTTCTGTCATTTGGGAAGAGGGAGAAAAGCAGTGGAAAGAAAAAAAAAAACAATACAAAAATGGTGAGACCCATTTTCTTTCCAAAATTAGGAGGAAACGAGGAGAAAAGGCTGAGAGAAATCTTTTCTTTTTTGTTTTCGCATTTTTGCCCTTGCAGCCATCCCCCTCATTTCCTCTCCACATAACAGATCTGCAGAACAGATCTGAACTTGAAGATAGAAAACTCAGAATTGAAGATGCAAAGAATGCTACGTTTGCTGCCATGGATGCAGGGATAGTACCTAGTGGTGGTGCAACATATGTTCATCTCTCGGAGCAGATTTCCTCAATAAAAGATTCCATGGAAGATGAAAATGAGAAGATCGGTGCTGATATTGTTGCAAAGGTTTGTTCTCGATTCTTTTCTTTTGCCAGAAGTTATTTGCTCTATACTTTTGCCTCACTGGATAGGATGGTTTTATTTTCTTTCGTGACATGTGCCTTTTATGTATGTTTCTTTATTTGGATCGGTGAATTTTGCATTTCAAATGGAAACAAGCAGCTTTTGTGAATCAGTTACCATGTGCAAGTGCTATAGGGGTTGATACTAAAGCAGATTCGTGCACAAGGTTTGTAAAACGAACCAAGGCCCCCTTAATCATTAGTTGGTGATTTTTTATAATTATTGATAAAGTGGGACACTTTTGTGAATTGGTTATAAATGTAGTTCATAGCATGGAGAAACCTAACACGTGTACTAGTTTCTAAATGACTCGAAGGGAAATTTCTTCTCCGATATAGTAACACCTGCCAATGATGCATTACAGGCACTTCTTGCCCCTGCAAAAACAATTGCAACTAATGCAGGGGTCGATGGAGCAGTTGTGGTGGAGAATATTCGATCTCGTGACTGGAGAACTGGTTACAATGCAATCAATGGTAGATATGAAGATCTCCTAAATGCAGGTGTGGTAGATCCTTGTAGAGTTTCTAGGTGTGCACTTCAAAGTGCCGTCTCAATCGCTGGGATAGTTCTAACAAGTCAAGCACTGCTGGTTGAAAAAATAAAGAAGCCCAAGCCTGCTGTCCCTTATGTTCTTGGAATTACACCATGAGAAAAATGGAAACGAATTTTGTTAAAATCTTTGAAAGAAGCTGAAGAAATTTTATCTCTGATGGCTCAGATCAAAGGTTTTGAGTGGGCTGTAAAATCTTCTATTCCAGTAACTGAGCAACTAGGCATATAGGAAGAGTAATCTCCATATCCAAATGTCCTCTGTAAAATCTTCAATTGAAGTTAGTCACTTACACAATTTATGCAAAAAGTCACCTTTATTCTATCAAATTGATCCTACAACTTACCTAATTATATGTAGTGTTTGCACATAATTTTTTCTCCCATTTATTTATTTATTTATTTTAAGTATTACAAAAATACCAAAAAAAATGATAAAACAAATCTAGCAAAAAATAGAAAAAAAAAGCAATTAGAATGGCCTAGTTTAGATTGATTCAAAGAAGAGAGCTAATTGAGAAAAATAATGGGTTGGAAGCAATTCAAAAGACAATCAAGGGCATAATTGAAAAAAAATCAACCACCCAAAACACCCCCAAAAATACAAAAATAATATACCCCTTAAAATAGCTATGAAACACCTCCCTAAAACTAGCTCTCAAACAAGCTATAAACAAGCCTTAACACACCCTAAACAATAGCCTCAAAACAGACCTAACACCTACCAAAAGCTGAAAAAATCAGCTCTAAAACTATTACCAATAGCCCCCAAAACCCTTATAGAGCAACCCCTTTGGATAGGTAATTTGAACCACTCGAAGCGACTCCAAAAACACCCCCAAGCCGACTTCAAAACCACACCAAAAAAAAAACCCCAAAAAACCCTAAAAAAATAGGCCTAAAATCAACCCCAAAATAGACCCAACATCTACTAAAAGCTCCCAAACTCGACCATGAAACCGTTACCAATAGCCCCCAAAACCGTTACAGAGCAATTCCTTTGGAAAGGCCATTTGAACCACCAAAGAAGTTCCATAAACACCCCCAAACCAGCTTCAAAACCACCCAAAAAAACCCTAAAAAAATATTAAAAAAAGAGGCCTAAAACCAATCCCAAAACGGACCCAACACCTACCCAAAAGGCCCCAAACTCAGCCTTGAAACTATTACCAACGACCCCGAAAACCCTTACAGAGCAACTCCTTTGGAAAGGCCATTTGAACCACCAAAGAAGCTCCACAAACGCCCCCAAACCAGCTTCCAAAAAACCCAAAAAAACCCTAAAAAAAGAGGCCTAAAACCAACCCCAAAACAGACCCATCAACTACTCAAAAGGCCCCAAACTCGACCCGAAACCGTTATCAATAGCCCACGAAAACCCTTACAGAGCAACTTCTTTGGAAAGGCTATTTGAACCACAAAAAAGCTCCAAAAACACCCCTATACCAGATTCAAAACCACCAAAACCCCCCAAAATCCAACAAAGTAGACACAAAATATCCCTCAAGACAGACCCCTCGAACACTTTTTGGAGTTACCGCAAATGAAGAAATAAAAATTATTTATGACTTATCTCATTTTTTGTGATTCAATTGACTTTCCATGATTGTTCGCAATGTTACCATATACTCTTTTTTTTAATTGCTAAATAGTAATTGTTTATTCTAAAAAAAAAAAAGCGAGAGAAAATGATGGGTAAAAGCAACTAACTTATTATATGCATAAATAATAATACATGTTATACATATTTAAATTAATTTTATGTTGATAATTAATCTAAATTGGCTATTGGATTAATTAATTAATAAACGAGTTATCAATTATTATATGGAGACGATTCATTATCTATCTTATCATTTCGGATATATGCTACATGCTAGATTTTTATTTTATTATCATTTGTGTTATTTTCATGAAAAAAATATTCATACAAATTTATTATAAGTATTTAAATATAGAAATATAATCACAGGGGTATTATAGTAAATATACCATAATATATTTTATTTCCTTCCTCTTTTTACAATTATCCAAACAAGGAAAATGTATTTTCTTTCCTTTCCTTTCCACTCTTATCCGAACAACAAGTGGAAAATAATTTTCTTTCCTCTCTCTTTTCTTTTCTCTCACTTTCTTTCTTCTCTTTTCTTTCCTCCCAAGAGTAATTATCCAAACAAGGGGTTAGTATGAACTATGCTTGGTTAAAAGGTGTCTTTTTTACAATAAGAAGTTTTAGGCAATCGTGAGAGGTCACATCGGTAGAGCATTACTTGATCCGTCGGAGTATATAATTGCGCGATAGTGGTTTGATTTACGGATCAAGTTATATGCTAGACAAATGTGCAATAACGTATGGACTACATCGGTAGTTGCGATATTTTATTGGATTACATGATGTGATTCAACATTAAAGAGTTTAGATTTTTATTATATATTTTAAATTATACGTATAAGATATATATTTATAAAAGATATTTTCATATTTGATGAGAAAATTTGAATTTTTTACAAATAACTCAAATATAATTTAAATATTAAATTTAAAATTTTCAATTGATAACGTATATTTATTTATAAAAATATATACCAAGTCTTATTAATGGACTTAATTCAAAATGGTCCATCATGGACGGATCAAATTGAGCTAACTAAGGTCAATATTCTAACATCTCTCACTCATACATGATGGTTACACGCATACCATCACTTTGAGACTCTCAAAAGTATAATGTCACTAAGACACATCATATTAGGTTCATAAGCCGTGCGATTAGAATACTAATAAACCTCAAGAACCTTATGCCACACATCTATTAGGAATATTTGGTGGCTTTTTTCGTATAAAACATTATGTAGAGTAAGTATGCAATACCCGAGACTTATCTTATTGCATTAAGTATCTCATGATTTCTTGATCTCTATGGATCATACTATGTACTCATAGTTATGTTTTGCTAACATAACTCGGGCAATGAATGAATACACATAAATGCAACATCAAAGTAGTCTTACTCTTCTTGGAAGAACTCTAATTTCTAGCTCAGCTTGCTTTTCTAGATGTATTCTCGCTAGTTCAAATCAATCATGACCTATTAACGAGTACACTAAGCTTGCTAGCACAAAGCTAAAAGTTTGAGAACCACTCGAAAGTTAAAGGGTATTATTAAGATTTATTAATCTTAGGGCCCATACTTAAACAATAGAGATCAAAATTTTCTTTAACTCTATTTGATCGATTTTTAGCACAAGCGGTATGAAAACACTTGCTACTATATTAACTTCTTTTTTCATGGAGCATATGTCCTTCTTACAATACCATGCAGATAATGTTTCATACATACTCAATATCTAACTTGGATCTATTACTCTATTGTTCATAACAGGATCCTACTTGGCTTTAAAATAGACCATATATACATTCATATATGTATACCCGAGATCACTTATGACCTCACTCTAACACAAAGTGTTATAATTTATATTTGTATTAAAAGATATTAAAATAAAACATGGATACGATAATTGAAAAAGTTTTCCAAACTTGTTCATTAAATAAGAAACAAATATGGTTCAACAAAGTAATACGGAATCACAACCTATGCTTTTCTAGAGAACTAAAATGCTTAACAAATACATCTCTAGCTAGTGATTTTGTAAATGGATCAACTAATATCTCACATGTAAAAATATAATCTATGCCGACCTTCTTTCGTGCTACAATGTCCTTGAGAAAGTTATATTTAGTGTCTATATGTTTAGTCCTAGAATGATATTTGAGATCTTTTAGTTAGGCAATTGCTCGCATAACTATCACTATAGATGGCGACAAGTCCAATAGATTCACGAACCCCATATCATCTATAAAATGCCTCAACCAAACAACTTCTTATACTCTAGCCGAGAATGCAATGAACTCAACTTCGATGGTGGAAAGTGTTATGCATGTTTATTTCTTTCTACTCCAAGAGATGGAACCATTGCCAAGCAAGAAGACATAGCCCAAGGTTGATTTCCTTTAATCTAAATCACCTCTTTAGATGGCATCCGCATAACCATAAAATTACTGATTCTTTCTCTAGTAGCATAAAGAATAATCCACTGTGCCCTTTAAATAACTCATGATTCTATTGACTTCTTTCCAATGATACTAACTTGGGTTTGATTGATATCTACTTACCATCCTAACAATATAGCAAATATCAAGCCTAGTACATAATTTAATGTACATCACACTCCTACCCGTATTGGCATAAGGAACCTTTTTTCATTTGTTCCTTTTCTTTTGGAGTCTTGAGGCATGCTTTTAAACTTAAAGCATCACTTCTTGTTATAGAAGTGTTTATAGAAATATAATTCCACATATTGAATCATTCAAGAACTTTCTTAATGTATTTTTCTTGTGAAAGAGCCAACAATCTCTTAGAATGATCCCTCTTGATTTTAATTTTAAGAATATATATAGCTGCTTTTATGTCCTTCATTTGAAAATTAGACAACAACCATCCTTGACGGTTGTTACAAACTCCATATCATTACTAGCTAATAGGATATTGTTAGTGTAGGTGCCCAAGATCTAACATTTTTTTGGATGATTTGACTTATTGTAATATTGTATTTTTTATTTTATTAATAAAAGAAAATCTTTCTATTAATTTTTATTGTTTATATTTTGATAGAATTAGATAAAAGTCTATATGATATGCATTGCATTAATGATTGATCGAAAGATATGAGACAAATATTAATGCACTTAAATGATATCATTAAATGTCCCAAGTCGTAGTATTATCAAGAATAAACATTAACTATATACGATAAGACTTATGAGTGGTATGCTCATGCTATATGATAGCAATAGGAGCTCTCACACCTATTGGCATGGTGATGCCAAACCAAACACGTAGCTAATTAATGTTAGAGAACATATCACTAGACTTGACTCGACTTGAGAATCCATTTGGTTTAGTCTATGAGAATCTCATATGAGATGGGCATAACTAGTCCTTTGACTTAAAGTTATCATAATTATCTCATTAGAGGATTTATGTACTTTGACTCTCGTTTCGATGGATTCATTCAAGAGTCTGCATGTGGGTGATTTGTTGGGAGCGCTAGGAATCTAATGAAGATAGATGGATGAATAAGATAGGACATGTCATTCTTTATATACTAAAAGAGTTATCACATTGCACTTCGATAAATGTCTACTCAAGGAATCTTTGGCCACGGTAGGAGTATAACAATAAAGTATAGTTAGTTTACTCTAGAGCTAAGATATTTGAAAATTGAAGAAAACTTGTGTGATCATAATCGAATAAATTGTAAACCAAGTTCAAGATCACACTCGTGATAAATTGATATGAAGACTAAATTGTATGATAACCATGCTTGTGAAAGGTAATTATGATTAATCCTTTTAGAGAATTGAATAGTTATGATGTCTTGCTAGAGGCCAATCTTGATTTATGTATTAAGAGATAAAAGAGGTGCTTTTTATTCATAATACATTGCCAACATATCTAGGAGCTTATTGAGTCACATGCATAAGTTTAAACATTCACATAATAAAATAGAAGCACAGATTTTACAAAAGATTTTCGAGTTTTGGAAGTTTCTTATTTTGGAAAAGGATTCCAAAAATAGAAAGTTTCCTATTTTAAAAAAAAATTTCTAAAATGAAAAGTTTTCTAAAATGGAAAATTTTCTATTTTGAAAATTAGTTTCACAATTTGAAAGTTAGTTCTAAATCTAGAAGTTACCTAAAAATAAAATCAATTTCCTAATTTAGGTTTAAGGATAATTTAGAAAATTGTTTTCTAATGTGGACTTTCTAAAAATATCTAACCTAATTTTTTTGAGTAGTCCAAATTAATTGATAATTAATTGGGCAAAAAGAGTTTTGACCAATAGGCTTAATTTAAAAATCCGTAAGATATTTTGATGGGAGGATAAACATGAGTCCTATTAAATAAGACTCGGGGCTTACATGGATAAGGTTAAACAAAACCCATTTAGGTAACACCTCTTTAACCTATTAGGAGATGTTGCCACCACCCACTTATAAATAAAGAAGAGAGGAAACATCAAGGGGATATGAAGCAATAACATACACAAAAAAATTAGAAAAATAGAGAGAAAAGTGTTTTCTTCTAAAAACCTTGGTTGCCACACCTTTTTCCAAAAAAGTTAATAGTTTGTGCATAAACCTATTCTAATTTCTAAGAGAAAGTAAACTATATAGAAAAATTGAAGCTAGCACCATGTGAATTCTGTGGGTTCCTTTATGGGTGTTTAAGCTACATGGATTATTGATAGAGATCAGACACTTGAACGACTCCTTTTTTTATAAAGACTAAATCTGTGGTATAAGAGGTAATCCTTACTTATGCTCTTAATTCATATATGCATGATTAGTTGATTCAACAACTTGACCTTGAAAGCTTTAGATGGAGAATTTTTTTTTGTTTTATTCTATACCTCCATAGGATGTATGATCCTTCAATTGGTTTTAGATCCTTTGTTGGGTCTTTAATTATATGCTTTGTCAATTATGATTAACTACATGAATTATTAATTCTTGATTGTAAATCCGATCCTTTTGCTATTCTATTATTATTTAAAATTAATTTTGGGCTTAGAAATAAATAGGTGTGTGCGAGGCCAACGTTGTATGTGCGACTTAGAGGCTAGGCTAATCACGCACCGGGCATATGACGGGATAGGTGTGCCTCATGCATGCTAGGCCTTCTAGCCGTGCCCTTTGTATGCTCGGGCGCTTGACGAGCCGGACATGCCTTATGCATGTCGAGCCCTCCGAGCTAGGCTAGTCATGCACTCGGGCATGCGGTAAGCTAGGAGTGCCTCATGCATGCTATGCCGTCTAACCGGGTTAGTCACATACTAACATGGTAGGCTAGCTATGCCTTATGCACACCGAGCAAGTCAGGCGAGCTAGTTGTGCGTCGTGCACATGACATGACAAACGAGCACTAAGTGCATGCCAAGCCTATGGCCAAGCTAAGATGTGCCTCGCATACTTCAAGTGTGCGCAAGGGCAAGGCATGCCTAGGGTAGCACACGAGCATGTCGGAGACTAAACGTTAGGCTAGTATGGGGCACTAGGTAATCAACTAGCCAAGGTTAGAGCTATAAACCGGCCGGTGGTCAACGCCCGGCTAGGTGGACGTAAGCATGCCGTGCCGGTAATAGCTACTTGCTAGTGCTAGACATTAGCTAGCTAGGGCATAGCAGCCCACGAGACTTCTAGGCCTAAAATCCCATAGGCCCAAGGCTCGAAATATCTTAAAATTAAAATTTAGAGAAATTTTAATTATTTTTTTATAAAATAATCAAAACATAGATTTATAATTATTATTAAAATGAAATGTGTTTTATTATTATGCCATGTATCAATATGATTGAAATATCGATAAATGGTATGGATGGGTCGACTTAGTTTTTAAGAACGTATGTTTGTAATTTTTGATTAAATAGGGCCACGTGTCTTGCCTTCTTTATCATTATGATGTATTTATCTTCTCATCTTACTCTTCTCGAATGTAACTCTAGGTTTCTTATTCAAAGAAATGTAAAAGTAAAAGATAGGATATTAGAATAGATGCAAAGAGAAGAAGCTAAGAAAAGAAGATAATCTTGAAGAATTTGTAATAATTTTTCACCTAGGTACTTGACCTACTAGTCTCTTTATAGTTCGATGGGACTAGTAGTAGAGATCCATTACCATTCATCGATCGGTGAGTCATACATAAGATATATGTATTTATTATACGATTGATAATATGCATGATAGGATTAATGTGATTGATGACTAGTATGCATACTAAGATGAGACCTACCATATTAAATCCTTCAAATTAATATCAAGTTAATTGCCTTTCAATGTTATGAGGGGAGAACTCTCTTGGTCATTTTTGGCTTATTGAGATAACTCAAGATCACTTCTTCTTCAAGAGAATCAAATTATGGGCCATGCAATATCTCCGAATGTTTAGGTATAACTTGAAATAAATTATTGGGTTTATTGAGATAACTCAAGGTCCAACGAATTTATAGGTAAACATTGGTATTCACATAAGATATGAGATGACAAGGAGTTGTCATGCCAATGATATTAGGAATTACATTAGATGCAATTGGTAAGGAGTTAACTATCTAATCCTTCATGTATGACTTATTGAGATAACTCAAGGTTAATGCATGTTAGAGGATAGAATCCTAACTCACTAATGAAATAAATCAAAAAATTTTCTTGAGTCCTATATTAAAGGTTATAAAACTTGAATAAAATAATGAGAACAAACATAGATTTTACTTTTTTAATTTATGCTTTACTTTATTTATGTAATTCAATTAACCAAATCATATGTTTTTCTATCCCGTCAAGGTTATTACACAACTTGATCGGCAATACATCGATGCAATCGATGACTAATGAAAGTAATACCTTAAATGACACAAACTTCCTTGATCGGAAAATGAATAAGAGGAATATCCTCCAATATGAAAAAATGCTCTATATGATAGATGATAAGGAATATCTTAAAGAGATACAAAAGAAGAGTTCTAAAAGCACCTCAAGTATTTATGTCATTGAAGTGAACTTTTCTACTTCTAGTTCTATATCATGGATATTTGATACTCGGATGTGGTGCACACATTTGCACAAATATGAAAGGACTAAAAAAAGTAAGAAAAATTACTTTAGGGGACGTTGACCTACGCATGGGTAATGGTTCAAGAGTTGTACCATTAATGATAGCCATCAATGAGTTAGCATTACCATCCGGGCTTATGCTTACACTTAGAAACTATCATTACATTTCTAGTGTAACTAGGAATATCATTTCCATTTCTTGTTTGGAAAGATGGTTTTTCGTTTTTATTTAAGAATAAAGGTTGTTCCTTTTATAAAGATAATACTTTATATGAACATGTTGATATTAATAACGGTTTATATGTTTTGTACATAAACACATCCATTTGT